GAGTGGGTGGGGACAAGAGAGAGTGGGTGGCTAATGGGGATGGATGTGATCAAAATACATTATGTTTACACATATGGAAATGTCACAGTGAAGCCCATTACTATGTATAGTTAATGGATGCTAATAAAAGCTTTTAAAATTATTTAAAAAGTTGTGAAGGGGCTGGGGAGGGGATTCAGTAAGTGCCCTGAGTTAGATCCCTGGAGCCCATGTTAAGAAAAGCATGGATGGCAGCACACTCTCAGAATCCCTGCTGGGTCCCTGTGCCTGCTGGTGTTGAGTCCAGCTTACATGGGAGCTCAGGTCAGGGAGACTATCTCAGAATCTAAGATGGACTGTAGCTGAGAAACAACACCCAAAGGTTATCGTCTGGCCTTACACAGATGCTTGCACATGCACAGATCCATCCATCCATGTGCCACACAACACACGCACGTGCGGAGTGACATGTTGCTGAAGATGACTTGCACATGGCAAAGGCCCATGAAAAGATTTCAGCATCATTAGCCACTAGAGAAATGCAGAGTGAAGCCAATATCCAGTAGTGCTGTGCACCTATCATAATGGCTCGCACAGAAAAGTGCACTGGCTCCCTTTAAAGGCTCTGGGTACAGAGAATGGATTATTCATGCATTGCTGAGGAGAAGTAAAATGAGAATCATTTTGCTGAACAGCTTTGGAAGTTGATCAAAAAACTAATTCTAAGCTATCATACAATTGAGCAATGCACTCCTGGCGTTTATCCCAGAGCATTGAACATTTACATCTATCCATAAGCCTGTAGTAAAGGCATATAGGAGCTTTAGTGTAATAGCCCAAACTAGAAAGAGCCCAGCTGTCATTGAGGGGACGGGGAGTTGAGCCAACAGTGCTATAGCTGTACCATGGAGTACTATGTAGTACTAAAAATGAACACACTTCTGACATGCAACTAGCTGGATCTGTCTGGATACTGTGCTCATTGGAAGGAGCCAGTGCCAAAGAGTTTCACTTATATGAAGAAGTCTTATTTTTATATTGTGTTATTTATACAACATATATAGATATAGATATATTTGTGTGACAGTCCTTACATATAACCCAGGCTGGCTTTGAACTCATGGTCCCACTGTCTCAGTTTCTCACATGCTGACATTTATAGGCATGCATCCCCAATTGGGCCTTCAACATCCTCCAAATGATAAAATTAGAGAAATGGCCAATGTTCAGTAGTTATCAGGGATTGAAGAGAGGCAGGATGAGCAGGAATTGGATGTGGCTATAAAGAGGCCCCCTTAGTGCCAGTGAGATGGTTCAGCTAGTATGAAGGTGCTTGCCATGCAAACCCAGTAACCCAAGTTCCATTCCCAGAACCCACAGAAAGGAGCTCAGAAAGATTCGACTTGATCAGGTTGTAGCCATGGCCTACGTGTCCACAGCACACACCATGCACACACACAAAGTAAAGAATTAGAGTACTTGAAAGATGTCTATAGAATGTTCTATGTCTATTGACTTAATGTCAGTACTCCATTTAGGATATTTTGCTATAATTGATAAGATATTATAACTAGGAGAAATTAGGAAAAAGGTGTAGAGGATCTCTACTTCATATTTTAAAACTGTGTGTGAATCTATAATTACCACAAAGTAAAAATTAATTGAAAGGTCTTTTTATGTGCAAAAAATGACAGTGAGGTAGAAATGACCTTTATAAAGTTTTGAACACCAAAATAAAATTTGTATTTAATTCTCTAAATAACAAGATGCTGCAAGCATTCCTGATTTTTGCACATGTACTAACTAAATGAGTGAATAGTTAAAGGCTAGCCTGGGCTATATTGTGAGACCCAGCTACAAAACCAAACACAACAGCAACAGCACGTAAGACTGTGCTGGACCCTTGAGCACTGCAACAGAGGCACAGACAGTCCTTCCTCTCACATGGGCTTCCTATATAAGGAAAATAAGTTGATCAGAAATAAAATGGGTGGCAGTGTGCAAAACGAAGACGGAGATTTCCATCGGAGATGGCTTGGAGTAGTAGATACGCATATTATGCTCAGTGTTTGACCTCAAACAATTTACTTAGCAAGTGAGCCTTGGAAGGTGGAAATACTAACCCGCAAAGTGCAGAAATAGTAGGTTCTCAATACATGATGGATACCACTGCCATTGTTTTGAATGGTCTTGTTTGTAAGGGTGGCCTTGGAATTTTAATCCTCCTGCCTTAGCTTCCCAAGTGCTGGGATTAAAATTATGTGCCCTCCATCCGTGATGTGTGGGTTGAACAACCTTGAATGGCTCAGCTTGAGAACTCAAATTGGGGATGGGGCTTTAGAGGCCATGGTGCAATGGTGCGGGGAGATAAATGGGAATTCCTTTGTTTCCAAGGCAGTGGGAAGATTTGGCTAGCACTCAAAGCTTTATTGAGAGATAACATGATGTTGCAAAATATACATATAACACTGAAAAATAGTTACCGTTTTGTGATTTTTCTCAGTTGGTTTCAACTTATATTTGAGTTGATGGTGCTGAATGTGGGAGAATTTTCTACCGACTAAAGACATTGATTGCTTTCCAATGCTACTACTTGCTTTTTTAGAGATTGGAAATGCTTATGCAGTTTTAAGCAATCCAGAGAAACGAAAACAGTATGACCTCACAGGCAATGAAGAGCAAGCTTGTAATCACCAGAACAATGGCAGGTTCAACTTCCACCGAGGCTGTGAAGCTGACATAACACCAGAGGACCTGTTCAACATCTTCTTCGGTGGTGGATTCCCTTCAGGTATTCCGAGTTCATTCTTTTCCTCAGCTAGACTTCCTAAAGATCTCCAGCGTTCTCATCTGGGCTTTGTTCTGTTTTAAGACAGAGTTTCAGTCTAGTCTGGAACTCACTGTGAAACCTGGGCTAATCTCTAATTTACAGCAACCCTCCTGCGTCTCTTTCCCAAGTGTTGGGGTTACAGGGTTGAGCATGAGGACCTCCCCTGTTTTTTTCTACAGTGTTGGCTTCCTATCAAAGCAGGGATAACATTAAGGGTTGCCATTGTTACTAAGTCCGTCTTTTTCCTAAAGAATAGTTATAAGAGTTGAAGAGTGCAGATGACTTGTCTTATGAAACACTGATGAAAAGGAGTCTAGGGGGAGAGCCGGAGGCAGTGTTGTGATAGTTACCATTGGGGGAAGCATCTGGTACCCGGGCTGAGTGATTGACATATGTGCCCTAGACTGTTAATGCCAATGTGTGTAAAAGTCTTCATCTGCATTTTCACTCAAGTAGTAGACAGTCTGATTAATACA